TACTTTACTTATTTTATAGATGAAGAAGCAGGTTTAGATACTGTTTATATAGGCAGCAAGTGATAAAGCCAGAACTCAAAGCACTGAATCCAACTTCAGGTAAACCACTACAAGTGCGTATGAAACCCAAGCTGTACTGCCTTCATCCCATCACACACACACACTCCAGATCTCACCGCAAGGAAGCCGGAGTCCCTTTTCCAGCGAGTTTTTAATCTCTTGGTTTAATACACAAGAAGTACACAAAAACCGGAATAAGAATGAAAAAAAAAATTCAGTAGCTCATGTTCAAAAACAATGGGAAACAAGGTGGAAAAAGTGAAAACAGAGTAAAATCATAAAGTGTAGTGTATTTGTCAAAGCTGCAAATGGAGAACAAGAACTTTCCATATATCTGAAACACAGATGATGAAAACAACTTCTTAAGCTTTAAGTTCAACAAAAATTTACAAATTGTAATAGAGCTTTCATTTACATTTGAATGTTATCTAAACTCTCTAGGTTAAAAATGAGCATAGAATCAAGAAATTATGGCCATTTATAATTCACCTACCGCCAATTCATCTGTCTCATAACCTTGTGTTTTTTGATTCTATGTTTTTAAAATTTTTTTTTTTAATTTATTTGACAGATAGAGTTATAGACAGCGAGAGAGAGAGAGAGAGAGAGAGGGAGAGAGAGAGAGAGAGAGAAAGAGAGAGAGGTCTTCCTTCCATTTGTTCACTCCCCAAATGGCCACTACCATTGGCACTGCGCCGATCAAAAGCCAGGAGCCAGGTGCTTCCTCCTGGTCTCCCATGTGGGTGCAGGGGCCCAAGCACTTAGGCCATCCTCCACTGCCCTCCTAGGCCACAGCAGAGAGCTGGACTGGAAGAGGAGCAACTGGGACTAGAACCCGGAGTCCAAGAGTCCATATGGGATACCAGTACCACAGGCAGAGGATTAACCAAGTGAGCCACGGCCCCAGCCCTATGTTTTTAAAATTTGAACAGGCGTGTCTGAGATATGTGATAGAGTCAGGGGAGGAGGACTTGTGTCTGGAACACAGTAGAAGCTGAACAAACGTTCTCTCAAAGAGACTTGAAAAAATAAACATAGCACACTCATCTCAAACAGCAGCTTCACTCAAATGTAGGCAAATCAAACCGTTTTTTAAAATTATAAAGCAAATTATAAAGCATTATATATAATGATTGCTTTATAATTTTATATATAATATATATATAGCATAGTTAAGCTTATATATATATATATATATAAGCATATATATATGCTTAGGAAAATATACTCAGGTACTTAGGAATCTTTGTTCTCTCCCCTCAACCATTTTTATTACTTGGCTAAAAAATTTGCACAAATTTGTGCATATGACTATGCAGTGGGATAGGCCACTGTTTGAAATGCCAGCATCTAGTCCCAGCTGCTCCACTTCTGATCTAGCTCCCTGCTAACGTGTCTGGGAAAACAGCAGGAGATGATCCAAGTGTTTGTGCCTCTGCCACTCACTTCAGATATTTAAACAGAGTATCAGGCTCCTGGCTTGTGCCTGGCCTACTCCTAGATGTTGCAGCCATTTGGGAAATAAAGCAATGGATGGAAGATCTCTCTTTGTTTCTGCCTCTGTCTCTTCCTCTCTCTCAGTCATTTTAACTTTGAAAAAATAAAATAAAAAGATCTTAAAAAAAAAAAAGAATGTACAGATATTTGACCTGGATCATGGACCACAGGCATTTAATATTTAATAATGAATCTATTCAGGAGGACTAATATTTATTCCATGCTATAAAGAAATGCCACATCCTTGGAAAGCCTAGGAATAGATATGCCCCCAAGAACCACAGGTTTTGAAGGGTTACTGTCTCATCCTTCCCAGACCCGTCATCAAAACAAATATACTGTAATTTACATTTTATGCAATTATTTGTTCCAAAATCAAGAGAAGTATTTTATTCTGCAGAATGCTTCATTTAAAAATTAGAAAAATAAATACCAAAAAAATCATCATATCATCCTTTTATCCTACCCTGCAATCCTTGCTCTCATCTGAGGCTATCCTAGCAAAGGTTCTGAAAACCAGAGGGCACCAGCTAAACAAAGGTGTCACTAGGCAACAAGGAGTCCCTGTAGTTCACAACAGTGCAGTGGAGGGTGGAGATTGACCTGCGTCTGAATGAACTGAGTTAAATCCACACTCGTGTTGCCATAGTCAACTAGAGAAGTAAGCGGTGATGGGAATATTTTTAACTTATTGATTCTGCACCTTTCCTTAGAAAACAAATGAGTATCCAAGATGCCTCATGGACCCCAAGGGACAGTTATAAATAGAAAATCTTGGTCAGCTTGAGGCCAACTTGGCTGAAGAATTTGTCTAACTGCTAAAACAGAAGGAACCTCATGCCCTTGAAAAGACTTCATCTACTTATGGTATGGGCATCCATTGTTCTTTAATCATTCCTATTTTTCTTGCTAACTTCAAAGCAAAATTTATTTTATTTTCCACTGCAAACTTTTCCATGCAGTCTGATAAGAAATGCCCATAGGATGACCACAGAACGTAAAACAAAACAACCCAGGGTTATACACCGTGGTAACATGGGCACATGAAGACTCTAACTCCAGTGAAGGAAAATGCTTTGTAAAAATTGTTTTAATATATAATTATGCATGTGGGCACCAGCTGATGAACATCCTGAGTTACGATATTGTCACGGTAACTGGCATGTCCCCGAAGTTTCCCCATTGGAAATGTAGATCACATCCATCCATCCTGAATGCATGTTGCGTGGTGATCTAAGCTCCTGTACAAATGCATTCAGTAGTTACACACACTGAACTTACTCATCCCAATTCGACCATCAGCAGGGGCAATATCGTCTGAGGAGACAGTTCCACAGCCCAGCGCTGGTTTAGGAGAACAGCCCATGCCTTTCCTCATCCGGTCTGCTCCCTAAGCTCTCATTTGCATAAATGTGAGGGAAAGGCAGCCCACGTGGTAGACTGACAGGTCAAAAGGTCAAGAATTAATATAGTGATGTGCTTTCCTCTACTTGGTTAAGGGAGCTTCATTACAGTTTAAGGCTTATACTTACCACATAGGAAACAGTCATCAAAACTACACACAATTAAATCAGTTCTCACATAAAATGTACTGTCTGAAGAACTTGTTCCCAAGTATGTTTATTTGACAAGAATTTTTACCTCATATAGTTAGTTTCTAATAAACCAGGATTATTATTAAAACGATTTGGAATTCTTTCACCACTAGGCAGTGGTAGAAAGCCTAACAACATGCTGGATAGATGGAGACACCCATTTGAGTGCCAAAAACCACCACAGTTAATCCTCAAAAGTGAAATTTCTGCATCCTATAATGAGGAGTTGCTGGGCATCTGATTAAGGACCGTAGGATTAATCCCAACTTACTTTCATTTCTCCCCAGCAACCAACAAACAAGAGAAATGAAACCAAGGACCTAAAGAAACTACGTGTGTATTTTCCTACAGAAATGCTTTTACCTGCCATCCTGCTGGGAACAAAATGGGCTGGGCTTTCAAAATGTTTGTCTGCTTAACTCCCAGTTGGTGGCACTGGGAAAATGTAGCCAGGCAGTCTCATTGCTCTGTTTCTGTTCTTTAACTGCCAACTGGAATATAATAGAGGAGTCAAGGGAAAAAAGAGAGAGAGAGAGAGAGAGAGAGAGAGAGAGAGAGAGATGGATCCAGAGAGAACCAGAAGGATGACAACAAAGCAAGCAAATAAATGATAATGAGCCAAAGATTTTGTACTCAGCAAAGCTGGCATCCTGGCCGGCGCTGCGGTCACTAGGCTAATCCTCCACCTTGCAGCACTGGCACACCGGGTTCTAGTCCCGGTCGGGGCGTCGGATTCTGTCCCAGTTGCCCCTCTTCCAGGCCAGCTCTCTGCTGTGGCCAGGGAGTGCTGTGGAGGATGGCCCAAGTGCTTGGGCCCTGCACCCCATGGGAGACCAGGAGAAGTACCTGGCTCCTGCCATCGGATCAGCGCGGTGCTCTGGCCGCAGCGCGCCGGCCGCAGCGGCCACTGGAGGGTGAACCAACGGCAAAAAAAGGAAGACCCTTCTCTCTGTCTCTCTCTCTCTCACTGTCCACTCTGCCTGTCAAAAAAAAAAAAAAAAAAGCTGGCATCCTGACTATTTTCATATTTAAGTAATTATGTTTCAACTCATTGTCACTTTCCGAGGGAATATCACAATATTGTACAAATCATGAATTATCCGGTAGACACTCATCTTTGCAACATTGTAAGAAACATCATATGAAATGATTAACCCAAAGGGAGAAGGGGCTACATTGTTCAGAAGTCTGAGACTTGGGCACAAAAATACAAAGTAGTGGTATCCAAAACACAAGTAATTTTGAACCATAATGAGAGAACCTCCATTTTGGTGGAATAGGTAATAACCAAATGCAGAGCGTACCAAATGAAGAGAGTTGGAGATTGTTGTATTCTCACCTTGTATCCCCCAGCACCTGGGACTTGACTTACATCCAGCTCCTCCATCATCTCACCATTCTTTTTTTCTTTACACACGGACATTATATTATTATAAGAGTAAACGCAAAGCTACAACTTACCAAAAAAGCTTTATTTACCCCTTTTAATTTTGAAATACTTCCAAGTATGCCATTGCCTTTGATTTTTTTCACATTTAAGTACTCACACACAAAAATTAAACTTCATCAAGGGTTAGAAAATAGCATGCCCCCATTTAATATTGTACATAATTTCTATTTTATTTAAATATGTTGCATGATATGCTGAGTGATAAGATTTTTAGCTAATTTTCTAAGTTGCAAAGAATGGAAAAATACTAAAAAATATGTGAGATATATATATATATAAACAAATATGTTAACTATCTCAAACGTATTGCAGATTTCTGTATCAAACTGATAAACTTTCTTGGGGCTAGGATAATGATAAATAAAATCAAATGCAACCTGGGAAAGGATAGATCTTACCTCATCAGATGGGATATCGAAAGTGATGCATCTTCTGTTAGTTTATTAATAATGCAGTAGCATCCTTCTAAAAGATGATCTTTTTGATAGATCACTCTCATTTGGGTATTACCACAGTTAGAGTATTAACTAGGGTGATTCAGTATTGGAGTACAAATTATAAAAGAAACTTCGGTTGTTCTTCCAGCCAGTCTGAAAATTCAGGATAAGGAAAAAACAGTAAGAATTTTCCACTGGCCAGTAAAAAGACAAAAATCAATATATTACATTGAGGCCATTATATGCATTATCATGAATTTGCTAGTACTTCCATGTCTCAACTTTCTCATGATCAATTTTTGATCCCACAAATTACTAAAACTCAAATTGTATCTTTCTACAGACAAAACAAGGTAGTAATCTGGCAATTTTCTACATTGAGGCTTGAATTTTCTTCCTTAATCATCTACATTGCTCAAATTCATTATAAAAATGACCAATTTACCACCTCACTTCACATGAGGAAGACAGTACTACAGAATGCAGGTCCCAGGGTAGAACAGCCAAGTGCTACCTAGGGACAGATGAGCATGCAATAGCGTGTGTGAGTAGCTCAAATTGTTCCAATTATTCTTTTGCTTATAAAACAATTTCTATATTGCCCATTATAGATTCCAAAAAATATACTTTGAAGCAAGATACATTAGCATACAACATTTTCTACTGCTAGAAGCCAAGACACAATAAATCTCTTACCTTGTAGAGAGAGAGTAGCACAAGGCTCATAATAGGATGAGTGATGCATAAAATGTTCTTCAGTTGACTTCCCCTGGGATTGATACTTCCAGCCTGGGAACACCATTTGCCTGCACGGATGGAATGCTAACCGACGCAGTAAAACAACCAATGTGTTATATATGGTTTTTCAACTCTGAGAAATCTAGAAGAATAATAAGTAAACAGGCAAATTTGTGTCTAAAAATGTTAGCACAAATTAGCTGGACAAGCACACTTTAAATAAGGAAGGTTTAAAGAAGGCAGATTAGTGATGGGTACATGTTTTTAAATGTAGTTGTGAAAATAATATGCTTTTTCTTAGAAGCTGAAGTGTTATTATAATATTGGTTGTAGCATTGTTACAGTTTATATTGTATTTTACAATTATTTCACAAGAAAATCACTAGGTCTGAATTACAAATGAAAGTGTTAGCAAAGAGCCAAGTTGTTTATTTTCTTCAAAAGTATCCAAAAGTAATCAAGAAATGAATCTAAGAAAAGTACATGATAAAAATTTAGAAGCTCAAATTCTAATTAAATTTGTTTGAAAAACTGATCATTAATGTCCAAAAGATACAATTTCAAATCAAACTTGCTTCCAATCTAAATTTAGCCTCTGTTCCTAGTGTCATAATTCTCCAGGCACAAGAAGGAAAATCAATGCACCTACTCACCTTTGGAAGAATTTCACTGCCAAGTCTCCATGGTTCTATGGGATCCAATAATCCGTAGCTTGGTATTGATTTTTCTATGACACCTGTAGAAACAGCCTCTCCTTCCTTTCTAACAAAACATAGCAACAGAAATTGTGTAGTTTCTTAGTGAAGTAAGCCTAGGCTATTAAGCCCAACTTCATCCTGTAAGGAAATGTGGTTTATGTATTTTGTAAAAGTATTAACTTTGCCTGATTTGGGGACCATTTAACAAATGCGTAAAGCAATGCAAACATCTATTTTAAAAGAAAATTTGAACATAGGTTTTTAGGCTTCTTACACTTAACTCATATACAACAAATTGCATTTACTGCTCTATGAAAATATAGACAAATCATAAAACCTACCAAATCCAATTTATAGTTTTAAAACAACTCTAAAAGTTAACCCTTTTTGATATTAAAACACACAATCATGCCTTTAACATCTAAAGCTTTGATGAGATAGAGGACTTTCAAGGGAGTAGCATAGGAGAGATTAAATCCTAAGTAGAGGGTTACATTTTGGGGTGTATTTCATAGTATTATAAGAGTTGGAAGAACAGGCAAGAATCATGACCTTTCCCACTTTCTTGACAAATGTAAATGCAAAAAAATCCAAGAAGTCATGTTTCCATCATTCTTCACACACCTGATATAAACCTCAAGGGTACTTGTTTCACCCCAGGCAGACTTCTCTGGGCATGTCTGAGTATGTTCCCCAGAGCCATTAGGCGCTGAGTGCAGCAACTACAGTTGGCAACCCACTCCATCACTTAACAGCATCAGCCCGAGAATCTGCAAAAGAAAAATGCAGTGTTAAAAGAAAAATCCTTTTTACATTTGCTTTTCCTGGTAAGAAAGAAAACACAAAGCAGGTTGTTTCTCACAGTGTATGTGACATCCTGGTTAAAAGTGACACTCCCATGTTGCACTCTGACAGGTTTAGTGTTAAGGCTTGACAGATAGAAACCTGCAAGAACAACCTCCCTGGCACAGATATTTAAATGCACATTAAAATTTGATTTGATAGTCCCTTGATTAGTTTTTGCAACAGTGAGTACTACTGTCTTTTACGTTTGCTATACATTGTTATTCTTCACACGACTGTTAATTTAAGCTCCCATTTCACTAAAATACACACATTTTAACCACTTATCAAACCTGTGCACACTTCTGAGTTAAAGAATTAGATCAATCCAAACTCCAGTTCTCAAGGGAGAAGTTCCATTGTTTATCAGGCCATGTCTACACTGGCTGAGCAAAGCGCTCTGTTCAGAAGGAGAAGCGCCTTTGGCAGCTAGAGTCCACATAGCTGACCCATGGACGCTCGGGTGGAGCTTCTTCACCTAATTATGCAAGGGCAATGAAATTACTAAACATTTGATGAAAATGACCCACAAAGACAAAAACAGGACATGATGTTCTACATGTTTCCATGGTAGTCATTTAGAATGTAATTCCAAGGTCCTACAAACACAAGAAGAATGCTTATACTTCATAGGAGATAATGAATATGGCAATTGAAATAGTTGGTAACTCAATATTTGGTTTAGCCCAAGTCATTTTTCCTGAACAGGACAGTGGAAAGAGCATTTTACAATGCAATACTTTTTTCAAACTAGACTAGGTTAAGCTGACAATTCTATTTGGAGAAAAATCCTCAGAATTCAAATAATTAAAAAGATTGACTCAGTAACCAAAAAAAAAAAAAAAAGGATCAAAGGAACCCAATATTTTGGAGGAAATATTTGCATTCTGGTAACTTGCAACTTCCAGGTTTAGAAATCATTGTGGGTGGATTCTGATGGCAGCACAGTACCCTCGAATCATCTTGAGCAGTAAGAGTTATTTCCACCAATTTTTAGAATAAAAAGAGGTTTAGCAGAATGTTCTACTAATAACTACAAAATTATAGGGTTTCCCTTCCATCCACCCAAACACACTCCACTGTGTGACATAACATATACAGCACTAATCACCTTTGGAATTTCGCCAGCTTTTCCTGTTGGTGAGCAGGCAGTTGGACCCAATTGCCTTAAAGAAATAAAGCCCGCCTCTCCCATGTGAATGCCTGCCAAGGACTTCGGAGATCATCCATTCTGATTCACTGAAGAGAGCAGGAGTGAAACTGTGCACGTGTGGGAATTTATTATAATGGTGATCAATGAGATACGCTTACCTTTACCAATATCATCCCAAAATAAATATGCTACACCAGAATACAAACCCTGGTTTCTCTAAATCACTTGAACTTTACAGGTAGGAAAACTTCATGTTTTCTGCCACTCGCATCTTCAGTTTTTCAAGGTAAGTGTCCAGTCTCTGTTTCAGTTTGGTAATCATGCAAATTACATGTTAAATTCTCTTTCTCTGAGTGCAAATTGAGTCATAGCAACATATTAACTGATTAGACTCTAAATTACCACTCAAATTGCAAAATGAAAAAATTCTGAGTTATCTAAGTTTGCCTTTCTTAGCAAAGTACATATACCATACATTGAATCTTGTATCTTCTTCTCCTATATGAAAGCCTGGAGAATGTCCTAATGTAAGTCTATTGACAATTTCTTTGCCACACATGCTTTAATCATCCTGTGATAACAATAATGATGTTGATGGCAATATAACACTTAATTATATGACAAGCACTCTTCTAAATACTTTATATACATGAGCTAATTTAATACCACCATAACTGGTAAGATAGGTACCATCTGCCGCACTTTAAAGATGAGGAAACAGAAAAAAACAGAGATAGCGAGGAAGTTGACCTGTATCACACAGTAAGTGGTAGGGCTATATTCAAATGTAAGGCAGTCTGACTACAGTGTCCACACTCCAACGTTGCACAGTAATGTGCTTTGCCAAACAACGGGTCACCAAACTGATGTATCATGATGTGTTGAGATGTAAATGAAAAGATGCCTTCTTTACAGTGGCTCTTCCCTTCCTACACGAGTAGAATTAATGTGCCTAGATCCAAAGCTTTACTCTATGTTGTCATCAGGCTCATTTTTCTGTTTCTTGGTCATGGATGTTTTCTTCTGTATAGAACCAGTATCTCCTGTTAGAATAAGTTAGATGTGGCTGGCACTGTGGCTCACTTGGCTAATCCTCTGCCTGCGGCGCTGGCACCCCGGGTTCTAGTCCCGGTTGGGGCACCGGGTTCTAGTCCCAGTTGTTCCTCTTCCAGTCCAGCCCTCTGCTGTGGCCCGGGAGGGCAGAAGAGGATGGCCCAAGTGCTTGTGTCCCTGCACCCGCATGGGAGACCGGGAGGAAGTACCCGGCTCCTGGCTTTGGATCAGCGCAGTGCTGGCCATTAATGGCTATCAGAGGAGTGAACCAACGGAAGGAAGACCTTTCTCTGTCTCTCTCTCACTGTCTATAACTGTTTCTGTCTGTCTCTCTCTCTCTTTCTCTCACTGTCTAACTCTGCCTGGCCAAAAAAAAAAAAAAAAAAAAAAAAAAAAAAAAAAAAAAACACACACACACAAGAGAGAATAAGTTAGATGCATTCAGAAGCAAAAATATCAACCCTAATCACCATTTCAGATACCACTTAAACCTATTTAAAAACTGTTTATTTTCATCTAACTGAAAGGTAGAATGAGAGAGAGAGAGAGAGAGAGAGAGAACAACAGACAGAGAGAGTGGGAGAACTCCAAGTATCCCACAAGGGTGACAAGAACCAAATCAGTAGGCCATCATCTGCTGCCTTCCAGGAGGCATTAGTAGGAAGCTGGATTGAAGAGGAGCAGCATGGACTAGAACTGGCACTCTGATTGGGGAAGCAAGTGCCACAAGCAGCAGTTTAATCCACGGGACTGAATACCCTACCCCTTACACCTTTAAAATTTAAATGTTGAGATGTTCATCAATATAGCAAGATTCAAATAAGAATAAAAATGACTGAGTAGGGACTCTGAATAGAGCATGGTACCTAAATGTAGCCTTATGAAATCAGGCCTCCCTACAGCAAATCCTGATGCTAGCTTTTACAAGTTGAACAAGTTATTTAATCTATGACTTAATTTCTTTATTTATAATATGGAAATAAAACTAGTACTACTGCCAAGGGTTGTGATGATCAAATAAATTAATCTACACAAAATGCTTAATCTGGTGCATGACACAAAGAAAATACTCAAATATGGTAAGAGTCAAGAAATATATATTATTCTTATTATTACATTGAATTTGTAAAAACTAGCCTCTAGCTACAACTAAGCATTAACAATTAAAAGTTGCTATTTTAGTTAAAGGGTTAATACAGATTTTAGAACAACTGGTTTTGATCACAGGAAATCCTTCTGGCACAGAGACAGTTTGGCTCTAAAAATTCGCTGTGAGGTATCATCACAAATGCTTCAATTCCTTTCATTTTCCAAGAACAGAAGCAAATCACAGAATATGACAGAAGCACCTAAAAAGTCTCAGAGCCTATGGCATCAGACACTCACCTAGCAAGCCAGACGTAGCCTTTTCTTTATGGGAAGGTTATAAGTAACATAAAAGGATAGTTGGCTTAATTTCTTTGTGTGTATCACAATTCAGATTTCTATACAATCTCACTGAAGTCAAATTAACCTGCATAGCAGTGATAGAATTCTAGCAACTGTGTGAATGAACAGTGGTGAAAGTGTCCATGCATTCAGCTGGCCTGTTTCTTTATTTGCTCCCTTCCCTTCCCAATATTCTAAATGCTTACGTTTATGCTTAAGTCCAAACTCTCCAAGGCCACACAGGCAACTCAGACATGGCTACTTAGGAACCTAAAATAGAAATTTTCATCCCAAGGAGAGAGCAATACAAGTACTAGGAGAAAATGGCCCGCTGGATGCCCACTTGCACAGAGCTATGCCGTAAGTGCTATTCAAAGAAAATAGAACGGATTGAAACCTTTTTTCTCTCAGTTCTAAAATGGACAGCGTTACCAGAAAGGCTGAAAAGCCCAGAGGCCCAGGAGCAGAACCACAGAGAGGCTATTCTAGGAGAATCTCCTGGGGGGCACTGCCTGCCTTTTTACGGTCTGGGCACCAGGGACTGGAGAAGCATCCCTGGTCTCCAAGGGGTTGGCAGGGATGATAGAGAACCTTTGCCTCATTTGCCAGCACCTCGGAGACCAGACATCTTTGACAATTTAGAGGGGAAGGAAGTCTTGATGTAGAAAATAGCAGCAGCATCAAGAATTAAAGTTTTGAATAAAGGAGTCAGTGGGCAGTCTTCTCTGGGATAAAGAACAGACAAAAATGAACAGTGAGAACAAGCACACAAGCTCTCAACTTTTTTTAGAGATTAATTTTATTTATTTGAAAGAGTTAGAAAGAGGTAGAGACACAGAGAGAGGTCTTCCATCCACTGGTTCACTCCCCAAATGGCCATAATAGCCAGAACTGAGTCAAATAGGAGCCAGGAGCTTCTTCCCATTCTCCCATGTGGGTGCAGGGGCCCAGGGACTTAGGCCATTCTCTGCTGCTTTCCCAGGCCATAGCAGAGAGCTGGATGGGAAGTGGAGCAGCCGGGATTCGAATGGGCACCCAGAGGGGATGCCGGCGCTGCGGGCTGGGGCTTTAACCTGCTCACCACAGCACTGGCCCGAAGGTCTCAATTTTGATTGTACAGTTGGACAAGCTCATTACTATCAATCTTCAGGTATCTCCTCAGGCTGCTAGGGAGTCAGACTCATGAGGCAGACTCCCTTCTGAAATGATATCTTAGCCTCCAATTTCCCAAATGAGGACCCAGCATGACCCAGAGACAGCCATCTGCCCAGAGTCCCATCCAGAGAAAGGCAGATTAGAACCCATGGAGACAGAAGGAGGGAGCTGAAGAGTTAGAAAAGAAAGAAATTCCTGAGGCCAATGCTGAGGTGGCGGGTAAAGCCACCACCTGTGCTGCCTGCATCCCATATGGGCAGCAGTTCAAGTCCCAGCTGTTCCTCTTCTGATCAGCTCTCTGCTATGGCCTTGGAAAGCAGTAGAAGATGGCCCAAGTGCTTAGTCCCCTGCATCATATGGGAGACTCAGAAGAAGCTCCTGGCTTCGGATTGGCCCAGTTCCAGCCATTGCGGACATTTGGGAGTGAACCAGCGGATGAAAGATCTTTCTGTCTCTCCCTCTCTCTGTCTGTAACTCTACTTCTCAAATAAATAAATAAATAAATCTTTTTTAAATAATGAAAGAAATAAATTCCCTAATAGCAATTCAACTACCAGGGTACTTCAAAAAGTTTATGGAAAAAAATGGAATTAAAAGATGAGTTTATGTTGGTGCTAAAAATTTTGGAAACTCATGCATAGCTTTTTCATAATATAAATTTTCACAAATTTTTTGAGGATCCCCTTATATGCATGGATTTCAAAAAAATTCTGGCACCAAAATAATCTTCTAATTTCACTTTCCACAAGCTGTTAGAAGCGCCATTGCATTAGTAGGAAAATGGAAAGGGCAGGGAGGACACAAACAACTACTGAAAGAGATGTCAGTGTCCTCAACTGCAAAATTTATGCAGACAGCTGAGGCAGGTAGAGAAGCGGTAGTACCGGGCCTTCTGCAACCAAGAGGATGTGGAGAGCACAGACCGGGCGATTGCAACACTGCAACCCGGCTTTTGGCTGCATTCCCAGCAAAGGAAATGGACTG